ACACACACACACACACACACACACACTCTCTCTCTCACACACACACACACACACACACACACAAAGAGTGCAGGAGGGGTACTCTATAAATAACAAATATAATGATAATAATAACAATGATAATAATATTTGATTTAATTGTTTAATTAATTTGATTTTTAATTTGCGAGTAGTATTATTATCGAGACATTTTTGCAAATTTTTTTATCTGTATGTTACATATTACTATTAAAATAATAATAATAATAATAATAATCAAAGTAATTAGTAAATTAAATATTAAGATAATACAAAAATAGTAATACATAAATAAATTAATAATTAAATGATATAATAACAATGATAATAATATTTGATTTATTCATTATTTTAATTTAATTATTAATTTGCGAGTATTATTATTGAGAAATGTCAGCACACATTTTTATCTGTATGTTGCATATTTTTATTAAAATATAATAATACAATAATAATACTCAAAAAATGTGTAAACTAATTTAAATATTAAAGTAATAATAATAATATAATACTTATAAATTAATAATTAAATTATTTAAATTCATTCTTAAAATATTTATTATTATTAAAATCCTGCAAAATACAGATGGAAATGTTCGATAAGGTCTGACAAAGAGTGAAATGTAAAGCCTGGTTAAAGATAAATGAAAGACATCAAACGGTTTTCTCCCTCCAACTATGTATCAATTTTAGTACAGTACCAGTACAAGTGCATGTGAGTAATAGTCTTTAACTTAAGCCTTCTCTTTGTTGCACAAGATGTAAAATTATGACAGCCTGCACGTAGAAGCACATCTCCTTATCCAATTCTTAAAAAACATTTCCTGTTGGCTGGTCGGAAAGACTACAGGTATGGAAAGATCCGGAGTCTCAGCCGGCTTGTATCCGGACCAGCTCACACCTGCAATCCTGCTCAACACAGAGTCTGACAAACAACTGCAGTACAAACCTGCACATTCACAACACATTCATTCATTCAAATGACTTCTAGCGCCTGCTGTGGGCGGAGTTAAGAACAGAGAGAGCCAAACAGATTCAGCACTCATTGCAACTGCCTAATGCATACTACACTACATATACTGCATACTATTTTTAAAATTAAATAAGCATTATGCAATGACAATGCATAACGCATAAATAAACAAATGCACAAAAGCATAAGTACATAAACACAAACAAATGCACAAATAAATGCATAAAAGCATAATTAAAATGCATAAATAAAAGAATGAATAAACAAAAAAATAAATGCAAAAATGCATAAATAAATGCAAAAATAAAGAAATGCATAAACAAATGAACAGATAGATAAAAAAAATAAATGCATAAATAAAAGCATGAATAAATACAAAAATAAATGCAAAAAATCATAAATAAATGCATACGTGCATAAATAAATGCAAAATTAAACAAATGCTAAACTAAATGCATAGGCCTAACTGACTAAATAAATATAAATTATGTATTTAATATACAGTATATATTGCACACAATTTAGTGTGTAGTAAGCTAGCATTTCATTCCAAACACAGCCTTGCACATTCTGCAATGATTTAGAAGCACAAGCTACAATAAACAGAAGAAATTCCCTACAATGTGAAACAGCACCTTGATTCAGACCAGTGATGTGTGTGTGTGTGTGTGTGTGTAATTCTAAAAATGTCACCCAGAGGAAATAATAGCTTGACCACAGTCTTGTTAAAAACAGCTGAAGAGTTTCCTGAATCCACTAAAACCTTCCTCTTTTCTTCCCCTAGTAAAGGACACATCCTGGTTCTGGGTTGGTCTTCAATTTTAGCTTCGCCTGTAACTCTGCATGTGACCACGGATTCCACGCTACCGCTAACGTGACATGCATTAAACCCAAAGAGGAATTTTTTATTTGGGCACAAGCCAACATGGACTCAATGCTTGGTTTCCGGAGCTGCTCTTCAGTAGGTCAAACTTTAGAGGTCACAGGCTGATTCATAAAATAACAGTTCGAAATTAACCTCATAACTCAAAACTCCGAGGCACAGAAAGTATATTTTAAAGTTATGAATTCAAAAGAATAGTTCACCCAAAAATTAATTGTGTGATCTTGAAAATATAAATTGCAATTTTGTTGTATGGAAAAGAGAATACTCTGCATAAAAGGACAGAATTTAAGAGAAAAAAAGGTGAACTATTCCTTTAAATAGGCAGGAAGGGCTGTGGAAAAACCCTCATGGCACACAGCTAATCATTTACCCGCACAGGTTGGTGGTTTTCCCCTGGCCATAGTTCACAAGAAACATTCCTTTAGCATACGTGACCTGTGCATGTTGTGCGCCTGAAGCCCCAAAGAGCGGCTTTCTTAAGACAAACTATACTGAGTTCAGGCTTTAGTAAAAAACTCTACACAGTGAGCAGCTAAGCTCTGATATTAAACCAAGTTCACTTATTTCAAGAACAATTTGTTGAACTGAATACAGAACAATATAGGCTAGGCTGGGCTACTGCAAATTCCACAGTACATACTGCAGTATACAGTCCATAATTACTGTCTTAAACAGCAGACTATTAAACTAAACACTTAAACTATGTTGCTGTCACATGACCAAGCATATTTACATTGGCAAGAAACATCTAATTATCATCTCAGAAATAAATGCAATAATTGCACATTTATGCATCTCTGGTATCAGGAATACCACAGACTAGAGCTTCTGAAAAATGTCAGTTTTAGTAGTGTAGTGTAGTTTGTTTGGAGGTTAACAGCACTTACATACTGCACAGTATGTAGTGTATGCTTAAAAAAATGAAGAAACCATTGTATTCAGTAGTATGAAGTATGCAATAATCATTATTTTGAAATAGTATGCTGCACTTGTCACTATTTATGCATAAATGCATAAACAAATGCATAAATAAATGCATGAATAAATACATAAAAACAAGGAATAAGCTTGAAAATAGTATTCAATAGTATTAAGTATGCAATAATCATCGGTTTAAACTTGTATGCTTCACTTGTCACTATTTATGCATAAACAAATGCAAAAATACACAAATGCATAAATAAATGCATAATGCATAAATAAATATATAAATCCATACATATATAATTGCATAATAAAACAAATGCATGCATAAATAAAATAAAAACAAGGAAAAAGTTGAAAAAGTATGCAATAACTTCATTGCATGAATCCTTGAACCATCTTGTTGGGTTGTTCCGAGGCTAACAACTCCTAAATATGAAAAACTGCACAGTTTTTAATGCATACTGCATACTAACTTAAAATAGGATCTGAAACACTATACAGTGTGCAACAAACATTTGTAGTATGTTACACTGTTGTCACACGACCTTGCTAGGTTGCATCATCTCAAAAAAGTGATGACTGGGAGTAGCACAAGAATAAGTAAAACCATGCTAAATTTAATATGCGGATATAAAAATCAGATATATGGGCTTTAGCTGCAGATTTAGCATTCGGAGGCTGACAACGCTCCACAAAGGGGTCAGCTGTGGTAAAAACAGCCTAAGACAGATTGAGAAAAACACCCTCATGATCCCAGCAGAACTTTAAAGCTTTCCCAAAGGACCTACAAGAATTTTTACACCGATATGGGCTGAAAGTCTCTCTCAGTTGATCTAGAATCAGATTTCCCATGTGTGAGTATTGAGCTGCAGGGGTAAATCTGATCTGAGAACAGCAGTCAGAGTTGTTTTTTGGGTTGACGGCAGACACACTTGGTGGGATGAATGGACGAGAACAGCATTAAACTCTGGGTGACACTGTAACAGAGACAGATTGTGTGTGTGTATAACAGGGATGAATGGCCAGGACTTTGGCAATATGCCTGTGCACACAAACCACCGAGAGGCCTTGCTAAGCTTGTTTGTGTGAGTGTGTAATGTTCATGGACAAGAACTTTAGAATGGTTGGCGTGCTCACTTTAACCGAAGCCTAACAAATGACAGAAGAGACCCATGGGCTACAATCACATTCCAAGCTTTAGTGCTCAGTTTTCCGGCTGTTCACATTATTTTGTAAATGTGGCCAATATCAGATTCAAGTGTAAACTGGTAACGGTCCTGAAATTACCCACATGCGCAAAAGAACAACAAAGGCGGCACGCAGCAGGCTGTCATACGGAAGTAAACATGGAGGCACTGAAGTCAGCATTTACACATTTATTTATAAGGTGATGTGCCATGGAAGCCACACGAGGATAAGGGGAAAGAGAGCAAAGCTAGTCTTGTACAGTTTTTCCTCTAGTTTTGCTTGGAGAGAGCTGTCACCTTAATACTTAGGTGTACCTCACCGTCCCTGCACTGACTACCTTCGCAGCTGTCTTCCATATTAACCAAGTGACCAAAGAACTTCTGGTATGTAAAATCTTTGGAATGACTCCCGTCATCCAGAGTGACGTAAAAAGCAGCATGAACCGATATGACTGTTCAGACTGAGGTCACACTGCAAAACATTGGACTTAGGATGACATATGGAAGTGGCCCAAACCAGAATTGGAAAGATCAGATTCCACGTGGTTTGTGCGGTTCACACTTCTCGTACACGAGTATAAATTGTATTTGGGCCACTTTTAGGCCTGCAGTCTGAACATAGCCATGGAGATACACTTCAAGGCAAAATACGTAATTTCTGGGCAACTAGTGGGACCAATTACAACTGCAAATTACCAAGCAAGTTTCCCAAACATTCCTACTGCTCTTTCTGACCCATCATTGGTAGTCACATGCCAAACTCTTCGAAGACTCTTTTGAAGGTACCACAGTGTGACGCTCTTTAGAAAGTCAACTTCTCAAACTCTTCTACAACACTTTTAAAGGTGCCACAGTGTGACGTTCTTTTAAAAGTCAACATACCAATGGCTTACTTCTAGTTGCAGATTAAACATGAATAGAAGTACTTTGTTAAGTACTTTGACAGCAAAAGAATTACACACACTTCCCCTTTAAATTGGAGATTTGGTTTGGAACTGCATGTAGGGTAAAGAACCATAAAGATCCGCTCCACTTACTCACCTGACAACCCCGCCTCTCGATCTCAGAGATGCATTTCTCGATGAGCAATGGAACCATTAATCCGGAAGCTTCCCGTTCCACCACGCGCTGAGCCTCTAGGCCAAACACCTGCATTTCATGATCCCCCTCTGGGCCATCAAGAGAGTTTTGCCTCTGCTCCATGAGGCTCAGCTTCACGTAGATCATTCCACGTGGTTCCAAGCGGACCGCAAGCTGGTGCGTCTTACTCACACGAAACAAGGTCGGGAGAACCACAGTTCCATGGCAGCACACTCGATTCCTTCGCGGAATTGACTCCCAACTGAAGACGACAAGTTTGAGGTGCTGAGCATTCTCCAGCTCAATGTTGAAGGTGTGGTCCATATCCAGGAAGGCTGTCCGACAGGTCAGCAAGGCCGTGCGAGCTTTGTTGACAGAGTCCACCTGGATGGCGCAGTAGACGTCACGAGAATCAACCCGCAGTGGCTTTAGGTCCTCTGCGCCATAGAAGTGCAGACTCATTAGTCCAGAGATGTACGTTAGGCACTTTGGCTGCTCAGAGAAACTGTACGAACGGAAGGCATCGATATCCAGCTCCGTGCCAGGGAGCTTCGGACTTCCGCCATTCCCATTGGGATCCCTGTCTGGGGCTTTACCGTTCTTTCTGTCCGAGTTTCCGTGCTTTCCTGACTTGGCTACAAGTTCGGGTGAGTCTCCATCACTTAGGTAACCTCCCTTACTGGCCGATTTGGGAACGCCACTGGTGTTGCTCCTTCTCTTATCAAAGTTGTGCTGCGAAGAAACACTGCTGTCCAGATGGTATCGCCAAATCACATTACCACTCGCCAATGCAGTCGTCACACCCGCAGGGGACAGTCTGGGCTGGGACTGGCCCAACTCTGCCATCCCATTGGCTCTAGGTGAGTGGGCCCTGGTTTCTGATTGGCCGTTGCTGATGGCCACAGTGCTAGATGGGGTCCCTTTAACGCTAAGCTTCCGACTCAGATCAGGCAATTTCTTCATCTTCATGGACAGTTTTCGGACAGTCCGTGGTGACTTGATTTTATCAGGAAAAGACCAGTTGATAACAGTGCTCCTTTTAGCTAGATTGGGACTAGAAGAGGGAGAAAGTCCACCAGTGGATTGCTCTGAAGGATCTGTGGAATGAATGAGGAGAGTTTAATTAGTACATTGCCCAAGTCATTGATCATAGCGGACCCTCAGATGAACTCAATACCATTTGTGGGAATATGTTTTAAGTGAATCTTATACTACAAGATGAATAAATTCCTTATTCTGATTATCTTATAGACGCTTCAAGGTTTCAAGCTAAATTCTTTCCAAAACAGCAACAATGATTTGGAATATTCAAAGCAAGATACTTTATTGGTAGAAGCAGTACAAACAAGAGTGCTTTAAGGACTTTAAAAATGTCACATTATATAGACATGTACAATGGAAATAAGCAGAATAAATTACTCCCATCCAACATCAACGCATGTCCAAGGTGTAACAGTTCAAAACTTCTTATATCTTCAGTTCTTCAAAAAACATGTCATCAATTATTCCTTTACCTAACCAAAACCCTTGTTGTGTGCTCGAAACAACCCCAATAATTGGACAATTTGACACATTACCCATAATTCTTTACTATCCCTTCTGGCCTGTTCGCTCCTGTTAAGTCCACAGGATTCCCCTTTGCTCTACGCACATACACGCCATAATAATTATATATATCCCAAAAAGTCCCTTTCCAGTTCAGTCACACACATCAAAAACACAGAACATCTGTGGAACATTCCAGTGTGGAGTGATAAACCAGACTTTCGCTGTGGTTAAATTGCTCTATCAGCCTCAGCATCATTTGCTCTTGCTCTCTCGATTAGTAGATTCCTTTTACGAGGGACTTCTGGACCTGGGATGCAATTATCGCCGCAGCGTGTTACCGCAGTCCATATGCAGTGGCTGACAAATCAGATTTCTTGAACATGCAACCCAGATCGGTCTCCTTCCTCTACCTCATCCTCTCTTTCTCTCTGATCACATGGCACGTTCGTCTGCTTTACTACAACAGCGGCTCTGTTGCCACAGTTCAGGGCCTCCTTCAACACCTGCCGTTTGATCTGGTACTTACCCGCCAAGATAAAACAAAGACCCAATTCTGTTAAAGAGAGAGAGACATGCCAGCGTGAAGAGACCAAAAAAGAGGGAGGCAAGGAAAAAGAGAAAGACTGTTTTGAGAGAGACTGAGGTGGAGGAGACGGGACAGAGGTTCACACTTTAGGGTTGCAAGTGTGTGTGTCTTTTTAAAAAGACAGTCCACACAAATATGAAGATTTTGTCATAATTTACTCCTCATGTCGATCTTGTGTTTTGGAATAGGTCAGAATTAAACCTCTATAAATTCTGTCAGACTAAACTGTGTTAGAAACACCCACTGAGTCCATTTGCACAATTTGAATGCTTAACTAGACAACTTACATTTATCTAGTTTGTTGTTTATCAGTGCATGTTATTCTGAAGAAAATTGTTTTTCAAAATGTTTTTGTTTTCTGCCTCTGAAATGACATTCCGTTCTGCTGATGTCACAAAGGCCATATGGGAGGAGAACAATAATGCCAACCAATAATATCAGTCTGCTTTTCACAATCCAATCACATGGCACCAATTACTTACATAAAAGTAAATATAAAAATAATCCATACAAACTGATTGCAAGTGTGAATGAGATTTAAAGCTAATTTGATTTGAGGTGGATCGGAATTTTTACTAAATATCTTTGTTTCACAGAGGCTCATCTATGACTAATCATATTTTAATATTGATCATGATTTCTGCTTCTCTCAAATAATTGTAACTATAATTGCCTGTGATCAGCTCACTTTTTTTTTCATTTGACAATTTACCATTTTCTAAGATTTGACCAGTTTCACAACATAAAGAGAGTGTTAATATTTATCATTTAAATATAATACATGCATATGAGTGGACATTCTGTTGATTTGTGATTATGAAAATGTTCAATAATTCTAATGAAATATAAAAAAGAACAATCGTGATTAATTGTGATTATAATGAGCAAAATAATCATGATCAGTTTAACCATTATCACACACTTTTACACGGTTAAAAGTTGTAAATAAAATTACGGTACATTTTACAAGAAAATACTTCACGTTTAAAAATGTCATGTTTAATTCAATGTGTTATTTGCTGCAATTATTTGTTACATTTTCTGCAATTTCTTAGTAAAAATGGTTTCAAATGTATTTTTTTTTGTCAGTGTAGCTAATTTAACAGTATACATCCGTGCATGCAAGTGAAAACCTACAGATGTAAATATGCGACCCCTCACACACAGGGTCTCAGGGGCCCAGATAAGGAGGCAAGGGTGCATTCCAAAACACACACACACCCCTGTTCTCGTCCACTCAGGAAACAGCATCTCTAATCAAAACACTAGATTTATTTAAAGAGTTTATATCCTGAAAATCTCATTTCTATTGACATACTGTAACCTTTTTGTATATATACATTGTGTATATGAAAGGGTTAATAATGCTCACTCACTGACTGTGTGTGCATTTACTTTACATTTTTGATTGTGACAGGTGGTGAGTGGGTCGATCTGGTCACCAGTCACACTAATTATAGAGTGTCAGAAGACACACACACACACACACACACACAGTGTCATTAGTGACAGAGAGAAAACTGAAGTGTTTATCTGAGATAGTGAAGTCTGATGTCATGGACTGTGTGTTGAACTGATCACAGATCTGTTCTCTCTAAATGATTCAAGAGCTTCATTTAAAGCCACAGAACAAAGCTCTGTTACACACACACACACACACACACACACAGGGCTAGGCCAAATTCAGACGTTAATACTTTAAGGCTCTCGTTTAATTCATGAGTGTGAATTTGAATTGAACTGCTCACACCCCGCAGGATGTTGCATTGGAATTTGAATAGTAATGACAGGAAGAGGAATTTACTGAATTACAATTGAATGAAATTCAAACAGAGTCACACAATAGAGGGCTGCCATTTGCCCAACACAAGCTCCAAAATGTAAATGATTAATCATTCATTTGTAAGGCATTATTCCCTAAATAGGAATGTAGAATATATTTTCATTATATTTCTGTAAAATAAGTTTAATACTTTTTTGACAGCTATCAAAACATTGTTTTCAGATAATTTTACAAAATGACAAAATTTTAATGTGAAAATTTATTATACTTTATAAAATATAATTTGTTCAATAAGAGAAATATTGAGATACAAAGTGATCTTTCAACATTATCCATAGTTAATTTATTAAACAAACACACACACGCACACACACACACACACACAGACACACACTCACACGCAACACTCACACGCACACACACACACTCTCACACACACTCTCACTCACTCACACACACACAGACACACACTCACACGCACGCACTCACGCACGCACACACACTCTCACTCACTCACACACACACAGACACACACTCACACGCACGCACTCACGCACGCACACACACTCTCACTCACTCACACACACACAGACACACACTCACACGCACGCACTCACGCACGCACACACACTCTCACTCACTCACACACACACAGACACACACTCACACGCACGCACTCACGCACGCACACACACTCTCACTCACTCACACACACACAGACACACACTCACACGCACGCACTCACGCACGCACACACACTCTCACTCACTCACACACACACAGACACACACTCACACGCACGCACTCACGCACGCACACACACTCTCACTCACTCACACACACACAGACACACACTCACACGCACGCACTCACGCACGCACACACACTCTCACTCACTCACACACACACAGACACACACTCACACGCACGCACTCACGCACGCACACACACTCTCACTCACTCACACACACACAGACACACACTCACACGCACGCACTCACGCACGCACACACACTCTCACTCACTCACACACACACAGACACACACTCACACGCACGCACTCACGCACGCACACACACTCTCACTCACTCACACACACACAGACACACACTCACACGCACGCACTCACGCACGCACACACACTCTCACTCACTCACACACACACAGACACACACTCACACGCACGCACTCACGCACGCACACACACTCTCACTCACTCACACACACACAGACACACACTCACACGCACGCACTCACGCACGCACACACACTCTCACTCACTCACACACACACAGACACACACTCACACGCACGCACTCACGCACGCACACACACTCTCACTCACTCACACACACACAGACACACACTCACACGCACGCACTCACGCACGCACACACACTCTCACTCACTCACACACACACAGACACACACTCACACGCACGCACTCACGCACGCACACACACTCTCACTCACTCACACACACACAGACACACACTCACACGCACACACACACACACACACACACACACACGCGCGCAGACAAACAGACACACACACACACACACGCAACACTCAAGGTCAGGGTGGACTGCTGCCTTTCGCAACGCCACACTCAGATCCGGTTACCTGCCACCCATGGGATTGTGGGTAATATTACCGTCTCCATGTCATCACTATGACATGTAAAAGCCATGCAAGCGCTCAGACGTCTCTGTGTCGCTCGTGTTTCGGAGGGGTGTTGGGACGGGAGCTAAAGTCAACAGCACAGGAGGAAAGATCCGGAATGGAACACAGCACAGCATTCACAACAGAGCCTAAAACACACACACACGCACACACACACACACACACACACACACACACACGCG